GGCCCCCAGCCACCCCTCTTTGGCGGAGAGGGCGGGACCGCGGCCCAGGGCCCCGAGTGCGGTGCTGAGTCCCCCGAGAGCGGGCCGTGGGCGCAGGCCTCCTGCTGCGCGGTAAGCGCTGGTTGGCACCCAGGCTTCCGCGGCTTGAGGAGCCGAGAGCCCTCAGGGGACCTCAGGCTGTAGTGGAAACTGGCGGGGGCTGATTTTCCGTTTTCCTTCCTGTTTGTTTGCAGGACAAGCCTCCCTTTGCCCCAGCTGAGCAGGATTCCCTCTCTTTCCCGAAGACCTAGTGGTCTCTGACCTGCGCTGGCAAGGTTCTTATTTCCTCTGGAAATAAAAGAAAGGGGGCTAGAAAACACTAACGGAGAGACTTTGTAGTTAGTAGCTTTCGGGAGGGGGACTCAAGACAAGGTGCTGCAGATCAGAGCAATTGTGGCTGGGGCCCCCCACGTGGAGTGTGGCAGCACGCTTAGCACTGCTGCTGTTGCATTACACTTGGAGTGCTGCCGAGATGTTGGGTTTTCACCCATCGCTCCTTAAATCGTTTTCCTGCCTCTGTGCAAGGTGTTTACAAAGCCAGTGGCACTGGTAGTTTGGCTATTTTGAGATACAGCCAAGGGTACTCTGGAACTCGAATTCAGCACATCAGATCCATGGCCTGCAGGCTGAGAATCTGGTTAGGGTCACTGTGCACTGTCTCTGTTTTAAAACTGTCACTTGTTACGGTCATAGTTTCTTGTAATATAAATTTATCGGGGAGAACAATCAGTTATATTGCCTCAGCTCCTCATACACCCCAGTCTTAGTATTTTATGCCTTTTGATGTGTTTGGACAGGGGCAACTTTACAGAAAATTATTTTAGCTGTGTTTCTTCACACAGCAATTAGGTAGTGATTGTTTTTTTTTTTTAAATCCTTTCACTGGCTGCCATAGGGTGGTGTTTGCAATAGCAGCTTTCTTGTACTCATTGAAGCAGTGTGTTGGCCTAAAGTGTTTGCTGTTGAGCACCTTGTCTTTCTTTTAGCTGAGGAGAGAGAAGTGTTAATTCAGATTTAAATATGTTAATATACTTCAGATACTTGAAGTAATTGCAGTTAAACTACTGGAAGAAACTTGCATACTAAGCATTGCTTAGACTTAATTCTAAGACACCTTACATCTCCTCCCAGCAGCCTGGAGCTTTCCAATTGCATCTTCTGATTCACAATATTTATTAAAGGTACAGGGATCTGGCTCAAGATGAGTGTTCCTTTGGGAACTGGTGAATTTCACTTTTTTATGTTGACAAGTAATTTCGGGTTCCCTGTGCTTTCAACAGCTGGCTTTGGGATTGAGAGAATAGGACTTAACTGGTATCTTTGTTGCCATCTGTGTTCTTTGTCAAAGTATTCCCCAAAGGGGATTGCAATGTAGAAAAGAACTATCTAGTGTTATCTTCAAATATCATAGCATTTTGTTTCTCTACAATGTGAACTGCAAGTAAGAGAGATCAAGCTTTTAATTAAGCGCTTGTGTAAATTTTAATTCCATGTATCACTGTTTCCACAGCTCTGAAGAGATCACTTTCTAGTTAAAGATGGCTGCTGATACTTCTGTTGAAATACTTCAGAAAGTTCTGGAGAATGAAATACTTCAGACTACCAAGGTTGTGGAAGAACATCTGGATGCTGAAATGCAGAAGCTGGATCAAATGGATGAAGATGAATTGGAACGCCTTAAACAACGGAGGCTTGAGGCACTAAAAAAGGCCCAGCAGCAGAAACAAGTAATTCCTGTAGTAATATAGACTCATGATGTGTACGGTTTAACAGGCTTTTTTGAAATCCTAGGGAAATTGTGCATGTGAACTAAGTGTTTTGGGGTTGTTTGGTTTGGTTTTTTTTCTTCTTCCTCATCTTTCTGTACTTATTAATTTTAAATTATCCAGGAAAGCTAGTGTCTGTCCGTGTGTGCATGCTTTGTGTTCTTTAACAGGAGGAGAGAAAAACCTCTGTGATTGCTTACAGTAAGGATAGGATAAAGAGTCTTGTACAAAGATTTGAGTGTATCCCGAACATTGCTATCGGGAAGTGTATGCCTTGTAGGCAACTTAATCATAACCCTTTAGGCTCCTTAAGCTTCTGAATTCTGGAGATTGTTAGTTATGGCACATAAGTGATGCATGCTCTTCTCTTAAGGTATTTTGTAGAAGAATGATACAGGATCTTTCCTTGTTCCTAGGGTGGTATCATTTGTCCTACTCCTTCTAACACAATGAAATGTTGTCTTTGTGTGACTGCTCATTTCTTCTTGCAGGAAAGAAATTCTGTTTTGGTCCCTGACACCTCATGCTAAGTTCTGGTCTTTATACTACCAAAAAATTGTCTTTGAACATAGTTCTCACCAAAATTTTGGTAGCATATGGTATGAGACCTGAATTGTAAGTAGGGAAACCATAGGTTTCTTAGCTTACTCCATCTAAGCAAACCTAAACAAAGAAATAGACTGGGTTTGGGGGGGAGGTGACTGGGTTGAAAGGAGACGCTCTGGCTGTGGTGGAACCCATAAAAGCTAAAGCCATTCGTTGAACTGGGAATGCAGTAAAATGTCATGGCATGGTTGGGATGCTGGAGGAGAGAGAACGTTAGCAGCTTTGATTCTCTAAACATGGAAGTAGAGAAGGTGGCACATTGTTTGTCTTCAGAAGTTCAGCTTATATTTGATTCTAGTGTTGTCCTTTTTCAGAAGTCCTAACACTTGAGTGTGAACATGAGGTAGTTCTCATGCGAAAACTTGTTCATGTCAATTCATCTTAAGTCGCTGCTCTCCTGCATTTTTAAATGCAAATTCGAAGTAGGATACTACTCAGTAAAAGGAGTAGCTGCCACACTATTCTGGAATAGGATTGTGCAGAGGGGAATTAATGCATACTCATTGTTGAAGGATAAGTTGGTTCTTGATTTGCATCATGACTTCTTCATGTGCTCGTACTTCTATGCATTTTTAATGTGTACAAGGATCAAGAAGTTCTTTATTCTATCCAAATTTAGTTTACAGGATATTTTTGGTTTGCTTGGAAACACTTTTTTTTTCTTTTTTCTCCCACTCTGCTAAGACAAAACTGCAAAATCAAGAACAGTGATTTATCTTTTTTTTTTTTTTCCCTACTGGAAACTGACATTTTTTGTCAAGTTCTGTCATATTGCACTGCTTCTAATCATTTAGCTTAGTATGTACTTGTTTTAATACGCTACAATTAACTTTTGGTATTGTAGAAGCTGTTTTTTTTTCCTAAGTGCATTTGTTGAAAATCTGGAAGATAAGCTTTTTCTGAGCTGTATTTACACACTTAATCAGGTAGTTTTTGAAGTTGCCTGTAAATTTTAGCTTGTGAAATTCTGTTTCTCCATCCATTTTATGACTAATGATATGCATGTGTTTTCCGAATGGTTTTCTGGAAGCCTGGCTCATGTTAAGATACCTTCAGTGTATATTTAATAGATAAACATCTGTGTGTTGCAGGTAAGTTAGTAGGCTTTTTTATCCTTTATTTTTTCATAGAGGGGAAAATTTAGAATAAATCCATTTTAGTACATGTGGTGACTGAAATCAGTTTTAGACAAGAGTTCTTTGAGTGTATAAAAACATTGTAGAGAGAGTAGCCCAAGCTGTTGTTGAGCAGTTTTCAAATGCTGAGGATTTTGTCGTTGGTGTTCCTTTTGAACTAGTCTAGTCTTACTGGGAGACCGCGCTGCAGAAATTTATGCAGCTCTGTACAAGATTTTTGTTTCCAGATAAGTAAGGTAGCTTTACCGCTCAGCCACCTGTCTCTTGTTGAGAAAGATGCAACCCAAAACCATTGTCTAGCCTAGTGGCATTTGTGTATTTTCAAAACAGAACTAAAGAGGAAGAAGTTATTTATTTCTCCTTCTATTACTGTATGAAATGCATTTCCACTGTGATCCCCTCTTTTATTTTTCTTAAAAGCTGTAGAGTTTGCATGACAGGTGCAGGACTAACAAACCCTATGCTAATTATTTCCTCTTATGTTTTCCAAAAGGAGTGGCTTTCAAAAGGACATGGAGAATACAGAGAAATCCCAAGTGAGAGAGACTTTTTCCAAGAAGTCAAAGAAAGTAAAAACGTGGTTTGCCATTTCTATAGAGATACAACTTTCAGGTATAGTAAATAAGCTATACTCCAGAAACCTTTTGTTTATAGATGTCTGCAAAAGCAGACATGTTCTTTTGTTCTTTCAAATCCCACAAATAAAGAGGCATTTTTAGAAGTATTCAAAATCCTTAATTTTCCAAATCTTACTCCCTTCTGAAGACATTTGGGTTTGTTGGGTTTGTTTTTTTTTTTTTCCATTCCAGTTGATCTGGACATGATTTGACAATGATTAATACTCTGTTACATAGTTGATTAGAATATAAATTTTAACTTGACAATATTTAAGTGTTTTGTGTTTCGTTGCTGATTTGGGTCTGTAAACATAGTGACCACACAGGAGCAGCATTTCAAAAAGATCACTTTGATTATTCCAGATGGAGATATTCAGGACAGTTCTGGCAAACGAAAATAAAAATAGAAACAAAAACTTGTCTAGGCATCTCCAGAATTTAACCTTTCATTATGAAAGGATCTGTGGATACCGATCGCAGCTGCTTTCCCTTTGTGCCTGTGCCTTTGTGATTATGTCATTTTTTTAGGGTGTGAGAGACCTGGATCTGAGAATATGTCCTGACTCAGAATAGGAATCTAAAATAAGATCTCCAACTTCCTTGGAGGAATTTCAGAAGTTCTGGGTTGTAGGCTGTTCCTCAGTGGGTCTATCTGGTGTCTTCTGTTAAAATGTGGTTACAAAGTAGAACGGTTTGTTGAAGGAGGAGCCAGTTGTCCTGGTTTTGGTTGGTTGGTTGTGGTGGGTTTTTTTCAACCCCAAGGTGTTACTTTCTTTCTAGAATATAAACTGAAACGGCCTCACTGCAAGTAATTGAAAGAGGTAAAAGCTGGATTATGCAGTGAGATATCTGTGTCCTGTTTTTTCTAAGGTAAATGTTTAGGTTTCAGAAATATCTGAAGCAGTTTTATTTGGCTAGTTTTTACTGAAAGAACTTGGAAAACTCTCTCTGCAGATAAAGTAGCTTAGAACAGGTTTGAGTTTCTTGAACCAACAAAGTCTGCAGACTCAGACAGGATAAAGAAATTTAGAGAAAGTTCTTTGTAAAATGTGTCATGCTGACCACCAGCTTGAAGCTATTATGTCAGGTTTACTCACCACAATATCAAGTTGCTTTCATCCTTGCCCACTCCAGCTTTTTGATCTACTCAGCTCTCCTCTTGAGTTAAAGGACATCACAGAGTTCATGCAGCTAAGCCAAACCACTTAAGACAATCCAGAAAGTTGGGATTGCAAGTCCACAAATCTCTGCCATCTGACAAGTATTTTGAGCAGTTGATGTTACTGTCCCTTAGCTGAGAAACAATAATTCTACACTCACTCCTTTTCCATTGCAACAGAAAAGTGAAATGTTTTTGCCTGTGGCACTAGTGAAACAGTCTGTGCAAAGCACCTTTTATTTTTTTTTTTTTCCCCACTCGCTCTGTACAGTGTGTTACTGCATCTCAGTTGTGAAGGTGGTGACTGAAAGAAAAACAAAATGCTGTTAACATATTGAGACTACTTTTCTGAAGATGTGAAGTTCATTATAGAGAAATTTTTCCAGCTGACAGGCAGCGAAGCTAGAGCAGGAAGAATGGAAGTCAGAGGGAAATTTCATCAATAAATGCAGGCCTCAAGAAATGAGAGATGCTTTCAGGTGTATGTAGGAGCAATTAGGAAGAAATAAAAGAAATGGATGGTGTAATTGTGCAGTAGAAGAGCTCCAGGCTGTTATTCTGTTAGTCATTAAATCCAGCCACCTTTGAAACACAGTTTCTCTTGAAACTAAATTCTTTATTAAAAAGGTCATATCTGAGGAATTAACAGGATAAACTAGCTCATTACTGTTCCTGTTACATTTTCTCTAAAATACATGTTCTTCAGCTTACTGATTCTAACGTTTCATATGTTTTGCGGTTTTTTTCACAGGTGTCAGATATTGGACAAACATTTGACTGTATTGGCAAAAAAGCATGTTGAGACAAAATTCTTGAAATTAAATGCTGAAAAATCTCCTTTCTTGTGCGAGAGACTGCGCATCAAAGTAATTCCCACTCTAGCACTAGTAAAAGATGGAAAGACACAAGACTATGTTGTGGGCTTTACCGATCTCGGCAACACTGACGACTTCACTACAGAGACCTTAGAATGGAGATTAGGCTGTGCAGATGTAATTAATTACAGGTAATTAATTGTCTTGTGATTGTTTTATTTTCCGATACAGTGCAAGGAGAACATGCTTGCAGACAGGAGAATCTGTAAAAGTTTGTGACTTTGATATCAGCACAAGTACAGGCTGGGCAGAGAATGGATTGAGAGCAGCCCTGAGGAAAAGGACTTGGGAGTGCTGGTGGACGAGAAGCTCAACATGAGCCGGCAATGTGTGCTGGCAGCCCAGAAAGCCAACCATATCCTGGGCTGCATCAAAAGGAGTGTGGCCAGCAGGTCGAGGGAGGTGATTCTGCCCCTCTACTCTGCTCTCGTGAGACCCCACCTAGAATACTGTGTTCACCTCTGGAGTCCCCAACACAAGAAGGACGTGAAGGTGCTGGAGTGGGTCCAGAGGAGGGCCACGAAGATGATCCGAGGGCTGGAGCACCTCTGCTATGAAGACAGGCTGAGAGAGTTGGAGCTGTTCAGCCTGGAGAAGAGAAGGCTCTGGGGTGATCTTATAGCAGCCTTCCAGTACTTAAAGGGGGCCTACAGGAAAGCTGGAGAGGGACTTTTTACAAGGGTGTGTAGTGATAGGACAAGGGGTAATGGCTTTAAACTGGAAGAGGGGAGATTTAGATTAGATCTAAGGAAGAAATTTTTTACTCAGCGGGTGGTGAGGCAGTGGAACAGGTTGCCCAGAGAAGTTGTAGATGCCCCATCCCTGGAGGTGTTCAAGGCCAGGTTGGATGAGGCTTTGGGCAACCTGGTGTAGTGGAGGGTGTCCCTGCCCATGGCAGGGTGGTTGGAACTAGATGATCTTTGAGGTCCCTTCCAACCCAAACCATTCTATGATTCTATGATGTGTTGTATGCTTAAGACATACAAGAGTTTAATCCGGTTATTTAATCCGTGTATACTTTGGCAAGGGAAAGAAGAGAGTCTCTCTTTGGCAAAGTATGGAGACATTATAATGAGCATTACGTTGTCTTTTTTGTACAGTGATAAAAATAAACAGAGTTCTTGACGTGAAGTGTACAGTACAGAGTAGCTGCAGTGCTTTGATATGGCCTCAGAGTGACACAGGTAATCCTTTCTCAATCAGCTATAGATGCTCACATGTCACAGTTGCAGTGTGGTGAAGTTGGAGCGTTTTCAGTCCACTTCAGGGAAGACTCAGCAAGCCATCTTAAAATGCATCTTAGCCTATATTACATACATGAACATGATTTTTTTTTTTTTCCACCGAACAATACAGAAAGTGAAAATAACTTGCAAAAGTGCAAATAAATTGTTTGTGTAGCAGTACAATATAATTATCATAAATCCCACATTTAAGACTACAGGATAGAAGGCAGTAGAAGATAACTGTCACCACAATAGTGTAACTTTACAGGAGAATCATTTACCAGACCTTTCTGCTTCGCTTTCCAGTGTGGCTAAAATATCATCTTTATCTTTTTAGGTTAATTTTGCTCTTTCATTTCAAATGTCTTTGGCTTTTTTTTTTTTATGTTGTTTTAAATTTGATTATCTGAATTTATTTCCATGTCTAATTTCCAAATTTTGGCAAGAGGTATTATTGTATCTTCAAGGCAAAGAAACTACTGTTCAATTTAGCTTAGTAGCTGTTGAACTTCAGATGAAGTGACTGAAATGGAGATGCGTAATTCAGAACAAGTGGTAATACATACTTCCCAGTTCAATAACAAGCAAATACACAGAGGAGTGAAAGGCAGCTTGGTTATATGTTCTACACAGCAACAACCTTTTATGGGAGAAATCTTTCAGTAGAGTTGTACCAAGCTGCATTGAATTTGCTGAATGTTGTTAGTACATTGGCTTAACAACATAATTTTCCTTCCTACTTGATTCTCCTAGTACTGTGTATTCCACTCCCAGCTCCTTGTGGAGTAGGGTTGTTTCATTCTTTGTTCGTTTTGCCAAATCCTGAGTTTGGTTCCCTGGCCTTGCAAAGTGAGCCACAATGTCTACACAGCCCAGGAGATCCATTCCAGGAGATGTCCATTTATGTACAAGTGTTGCATTTCTACACTGCACTGAATGTAGTGTCTGGTTCTCTAGAGTTCCTGAAAAGAAAATAGTCCTCTTCAGAGCCTAGAAACAGTTCTTTTCCTTCAACCTATGGGACAGCACATGGTGAAAGGATATACTGTATTTAGGGAAAAAACTGTTTGGGTCACATTGCTTGACCAAAATCAGGATTCGAGTGGTGTATTGACTTATTACTGACATGTGATTAACTAGCAATCAGTGCACTGTATTATTTAGGATCAACATCAGCAAAATGTTACTTACAAAATGTTAATAACTACACATTTCTAAACACCTTTTTACAGCTAGTTCCAGAAGATTCTAATTGCTTGCTCACTCACTGACACTTAGATGCAAACCCCTCACAGGTCATGTGAGTGAAAGCACTCACACCCTTTTCTGAGCAAGCAGAAACGATTCCCCTTCTTGCCCACTCCTGCTGTAGGAGTTATGGGTGGTCCAGCTTTATGTGAACACCTGCTGTTCCCAACAACCCGTGGACCTACACACTGGTGAGAAAGCCCCTGCAGGGTCATACAGGCACACAGGATCATACAGGCACACTGAGGCGTGAGTCTCTCCATACTTCCCTTACACATGCAGTATCCAATGGGGAAGCTGCTCTGTCTGGCCCAGGCAGAGATGGTACAAGGTGACTTCTGGCAGTACAAAACCCAGATTTGACTCGTCTGTTTCTACTCTGAAGTCCCATTTAAAAAATTCTATCTTCTTTTGTATTTCTGGTTCCTCATTTGTTTTGAAAAGTCTCTCCGTAATTCCCTGGTTGCTCTTTAATCTGACAGATGTCTTTAGCGTGATCAGTTTGCAGCACTCACAGGTGCTGTTTACACTCACACTCCTGTCTTCACTAAAGTTACCCAGGCTGTTTTGTCCAGGATGTGCTATGCTAGCAACACTGCAGTGCTACTTAGGGTGACTTGAAGGAGCAGGAGTTGTGTCCTCTTAAAACATTTTTCTGAAGAAACAGGTAATAAGAGATGCTACATACTGTCTGCATGAATACGGCTTTAATCAATATGTCTTACTCTTTTCCTCTAGTGGGAATTTGATGGACCCACCTTTTCAAAGCCAAAAGAAATTTGGAACAAGCTTTACAAAGTTGGATAAGAAGACCATCAGAGGAAAGAAATATGACTCAGATTCTGATGATGACTAGAAGAACAGCTAAATGTATTTGTAAATCATCTTTTGTTTATGCTTGGTACATTTCTAAGAATGTTTTTTATAAAGCTTACTGCTTTTCATTACATCTGCACATAATGCTCATTTTTCTATACAGTTTTATACAACTGAGTCACAGCGGAAAAAAGCTTAAATATTTTTTTTTCCTCTTTTGGAAGTCGTTTGTAATTAAAAAATCTGAGTCCTTCTAACTAATTAACTTGGCAAATGATGAACTTTGTCTTAAGTATAAGTTTATGAAGTGTTTTGAAGTAAGTGTTAGACTAACTGTACCAAGTCAGACCAAAGGTCCCTCTGGCCCAGCATCTGGTCTCAGTGGCCAAAAGCAGATGCATGAAGAAGAGTAAAAACAGGGTGAGTAGATAGCAATGCTTCCCCAGAATATGCTTTAAGCAGTCTGTAGCTTGGGGAACTCTGTATCCACAAGCATTTGCTGGTTAAAATCACGGAAGAAAAATCTCTTTAAATCTCCATAGTATCCTAGCATCCACATCATATATGGCAAGGAGTCCACAGTTTAACTGTGTTGTATGAAAAACTACTTCCTGTTGTTTTCCTTGAATCTGACAGTTCCACTTTGTTGTTTTTTTTAAATTTTCTTTATTAAAGGAAATTATAGACACTTTTTGAAAGATTTTTCCCTATCAGTTCCTCTTCCAGTTGTCATCTTAAATTTATTATTACTTACATTATCAGTAAAGCACCACAAAATTATTAGTAAAGGAATTGTGCATTTTAACAAATTATTGCTTACCTTATGGTGCCATATCATAACATTTAATAACTTGCACTATAAGTTGTAAAAACAGTTGTAACTTCTGTGAATTCTGAAATAGATGGTAAAGAGAAATGCCCTTTTACCATCTATGTACGCTACATGCTAAAGCTGATACAGCGGGTAATAGCACATAGCAACAAGCGTATTGAAAACAGTGTTGTTCGCAGGTTTGTATAATTCTGTGGTTTTGAATGTGTGGATTTTATAGCAGATGCTTTGTACAAGAAAGTAGAATAGAGAAAAGTATTTGGAAGAAACCTTGATCCCTTAAGTTTAGATATAGTGCAGCATACTATGTACTTCAGTAATGGGCAGAATTTTCAAGGGAGATATTCCTTGGAACACAGTGTAAAATTTCTGGCTAGGTGAAGAGTTGATAAGTTTTCCTTTTGTTTTCAAAAAAAATAGTTTGCTATTTGCTGAAGGACCCTTCTGAGGTGGTACTTTGAATCCAATTGGCCCAAAAAGCAGTGAAGTGGGTCTAGTCAGTCTTGCTACCTTGTAGTGGAGAACACTTGTGATTGGGCCAGCCCAGCAATATATCTCTAAGTAAGTTTAAAAAATTATATTTAATTTCTGTTCATGTACATTGAAATAAAATTATTTTAATTCTAATGTTGACTTTTGCATCCTTTCAAATAAGGTGGGTTATTTTTTTTCTTTTAATAAGATCCATCAGAAAGTTGCATCTGCTCTTTCTAGATTTCTAGCACTACTTACATTCGTCTGACATTACAACGTCACTTTGAGAAGGCAATCAGCTTAAGATGTATGCAGCTGCCCGTTAAGCTACTAGAAGTGTAAAGTAGGCTTGTTTCGAGTTGATCTCCTTTTTAATACACAAATTCTCTAAATGCACTAGAAAGTGCTCTTCTTATTTTTCCATCCGGTTGCATGAATTTTAATTTAGGAAACCAGTGCTCCAACAGCATTTTTAAGAGTGCCTTAACAGGACTCGTCTCTGAGTCTTAATTATGTTGAACAGGCTGTGGAAATATAAAATCATGTCTAACGTAGTTGCGTGCTGTGTGGAAACACATGTGGGCTTGTCAGGATTCCAGTGTGGTGCGTTGTTAGAGGTTGTTCAGTTCCGTGTGTGAATAGCCCCATTGCAACCTCAATGCAAATCCGAGTCAGAGTCTGTGGTTTCATGTCACTTTAAGCTGCTGATTTTTTTCTGGGTTAATCTTCAGTTGGACCTCTTCCTTCATCTGGCTTGTAGTATGGCCACATGCGCTCCAGTGTGGATACAAGGAGTTTGCAAGAATGCGTGGTTCGGGTAAAAAGGGAAGTTGAGACTGTGCTAATAAGTTTAAATTTATTTTGAAGTAGCAGCCTCACAGGTCTGTCTGCTTCAAGTCTTTTACTTTCATGTCTGCTTTTTGCATTTTCTGTCTTGAATGAAGGTTAAAACTGTCATCAAACAGTTCTCTTGGTAAGATCTCCGTTCTTGATCTACATATCACTTTGAGATGAACAATCCAAATCCAACCATTTTATTTTGGCAGAAACTTAAAAATTCTTTAAGAACTGGAAAATTCTTCTAGTTTGAGTAGTGGGAAACAAATTATTCTGCTGTAAAGCTCAGTAATTTTGCAATGCAGATTAAATAGTGAAGTGTCCATGATAGCAAGACCTGGGTCAGCAAGTTAGAAGAGTAAACAATACAGAGAAGACCGAGTCGAAGAAACGTCAGCTGTACAGACTTGAAAAGCACAAAGCTTAAGATGAGAAGATGGTGATGATACACAAAATCTAGGAAGGATGCAGGTTGTATGTGATTAATTGCTTACAGCATAGATTGTGTGTGTAAGAACATGACTAAATAAATTTCCTGAGCCTAGACTAATCACAAAATGGTACCTGGTCTGGCATGTGTTAGCCATGAAAGGATATTGTACAATAAAGAGATGAGGAACATTCACGTATAGCTTTTAAAGTTATGGGGCTTATGCATGAATTCAGCATGTAACTTCAGTAATGATTAGTGCTTAAGTCTGCGCTTGATGCTTGCATGAAGTAATCACTAAAGAAACGCGTGGAGAGAATAATAACCAAATGAGATTTGTGGTGTTCAGCTCTTGACGCTTGATTATTTGGACTTGACTGGGCACTCTGATTGCTGGTTGATCCCATGTTTTGCTTGTGATGATCTGCTCAAGAAATCTACCTAGAAGCTAAGTGCTGAGTTGAGATTTGGGAAGTGTGAAGAAGTCTGGTCCTTGAAAGAGTTGGGTTGAGAAAAAAACTCTGGAGTGGGCAACAACTGAGCAGCTGCTCTCAGACCCCATCAGTAGGTCAGATTACCTGTAAGTGTGAGAGGTCATTGAGGGAAGCAGACTCAAAAGATGAATTGATGTATTCCAGTCCTGTTTTCCAAGTAATCAATGTTGTACTATTTCCCATCTAGAAGTTCTAAAAGGAATTCTACAGAAATTTCGGTATAAAATTTGGGCTTTGAACAGTATGATTTCTAAAATGAGCCCTTTGTCTTCCACTGAACCCAGTGTGAGGGATGCTGTTGTTACTCTCTCTCTCTCTCTCTCTCTCTCTCTCTGATGCAGAAATAATGTGGATTTTGTACCCATTGCGTATTCAATAGCTGTGTATTCCACTTTTTTTGAGGAAAACTCTGCCAGTAGTGAGTTGATCCATCTGCTTAGAACAACTGTATACGACAGTTTGAAAGTGAGAGTTACACTCCAGAGTTTAAGGAAAGCCTCTCTAGGAATCAGAATTGGAGGGTACTTGATGTTACAATAGAGTATTTTAGAACTGTTCTGAGAGGGATGTTGCCTCTGAGCCCCTTCTAAAGGTTAAGTAGATAGGTAGGTTCCACCACATTTCAGCAAATTACTGCTCTGAAGGTCTACTCTGATCTTTTGTTCTTCGATCATGCTTTGGAGTCTTCAGTGGTCAAGCCTGTCAAATATGGTTGTGGTGTTCTAAGATGTTCCAATCTCCCAGATGCTACTTGTTATCTACTTCCCTGGAGACCACCATTTTGTACTGGATGCTGCAAAATGGATCATATGCCTGGACCTTCTTCATCAATTTAAGCTAATGCATCAAACTCTCTAAAGTAATGTAAGAGACCAGAGCATCACTAAAAAAAAGTCTTGTTCAAGTTTAGTAATTTTAAGTGCATGTACGCTGAGAGATGTTTGATGCTTGCTTATGTAAAGGGAGCAGTTAAGAAAACGTTGTTTTACAGATCCCATGAGATGCATGTTCTATTCTAAGGCTACGTGTTTTGGTTTAGCTATTACAGCCATGGCTTGAGCTGCCTAAAATAAACCACCACTGATCCAGGAGCCGTGTAGCTGCATCTGCTCAGTGTTGAATCTGTGTTAATATGAACAGAACCTGTTTAGACATCACCTGCCTGGTGGTATGGTTTCAACATGTGACTCTTATAAAAAAGGTTTAAAAATTAACTTGTCTGTTTCATAAACCATGCAATCTTCAGTAAGCATTGGCTTTTCCCAAGATTGCATTGTATGAAAATCAGGCGATTGCGATACACAAAACCACATTAATTCCTTTCCTAATCTTCCTCCTCACTAATTATTTCTTGTCAGTGTGCTGCCCTAGAAAAAAGTCTGAAACTGTTTCCTGTTCGGTTTCTAAAATGTTGACAGTCCTCAGTGCTTTGTATCATGAATTCCAGGCACACAGAAATGCTCTTCATAGTTAATCATGATTAATGGGTAAAGTTAATAATTACTTATTAATGGGTGTTAGTTTGACATCCCTGTGAGTCATGAATCTACTATCCTAATTTTGTATGTGGGAAACTAGAACAAGACTAGCTCTACTGAAGGACCTAGGAACATCAAGAATTAGATGCTCTAGTACCTAATTTCAGTCTCTTCCTGGAATCCAGATTTTGGCATTAGGTATGTCAGTTTCCTCTCCAGCAACTGGTGCACCGAGACAGGATCCGAGACATCCCGAAGGCTGATGAGCACTGCCAAAGTGAGCGACTGCAAAATGTTTTACCCAAGCACAGCGTTCCTCTCCACCCTCACTTCTGAAGCTTTGTACACTACAGCGTCAGGCTTATGGGACTGGAAAGAGGGAGAAAAAGAAAACATGGCTTTGCAACCTATAGATTTGAGTGGAAATGGGGTTTTCCTCCTTATCTCTAGTGATTTGTGTATTTTCCACTCTTAGTGCAAAATATTATGTTGATTTCGGCTCCCTGCTGCCCCTTATTCAATATGAAGCACCAAGGCAGTCTCAGGAGCATGAAGCTGATGCAACCGTGTCCCTACAGGGGCTGTAAGGCCATTCTTTTTTTATCTTCCCACCAGCTCCCCCTGTGGCTCTGATGGTCTCTGCTGTGCAGTAACACAACCTTGACAGGCTGAAGAACGAACACACGTGCATCCAGTCTTAGTGAGGGGCATAAGTGATTTACAGAAGAGGGAGGTTAGTGTAGGTTTCTGCCTCCGTGAGGTCATCGTCTAAGATTGATCTTGCTTCTGCCATGGCTGCTTTAAACAAAGTGGGCATCGCAGCCGCTGTTTGTGAGTAAATGCCAGAGTGTGCACTGTGAACTCCCACTCACCTGGAGATTTTTGCATTGGGATGCAGAGTCCAGTGCCTAGACTTTGGGACGTAAGGACCAAGCTCCT